CCCCCCCATATTGTCATCATTTACGTTACCGTCCGAAATGATGACATTTCTATCGATAACACAGTTAAGGACAGTATTCTGTCTTTGTGGATATCTCCTCCGCCCTAGATGGGGCACCTGGAAATCGTGTTTTGGGGTCAAATTATGCAAATTGGGGTTAATACATATTATAGTACGTGGATATTTCCTGAACAATATCCAGAAACGTATGTAAGCCTTGCTACACCCTAAAGCTGTGTTTTTTCCAGATTTTCTGCGAAAGCACATCATGTTTTCCAGCCTGTTCTTACCTTTATCGGTTGTTTTCTCACAATTCTATTTTTTCACACATTGTCCCATTTTTCTGCTCTGTTTCTTTTTTAATTTCAATGTAACTTTCACAGGATACCAAGATAACCTAGTTCTAAATTTTGGCGTGTTGAATTTTTGATTAATGGAGTAACTCTGGATTTATGGGCGTAGAAAGCATGCATTTTTCACTTTTTTCATTTTTTTTGCAACTACCCAATTGTAAGTGTCATGAAATAGAAACTAAAGCATATATCAAAAATGCAACAAGCCAATTTAAGAGCTACATGTTAACTGTTGGAACACAAAACTAGAAGTGAATCAGTTAATAAATAAGGGAACAAAATGGGATTGAAAAAGGTATACAAAATCCAATATGGCCTCCGTTTCCATAGCAGCCGATTCACAATATAATTTTTGAACTATTGATTTAAAATCCCTAATAACACACGATGTCACACTGCAAATATGGGCACTCTAGGCCTCGTAATAGCCAAAATAGACCTCAGGTGCCCCACCATGCAACCCTTAAGGACCGTATAGTGTCTACGTCGATACCTCCTCAGCCCCAGATGTGTGCGGACGTTCAGGGTCTGGGTCCCCGACCAGTTGTACTCCTCCACCAATGTATGGTAGTCACCTGTGACACCGTCACCGACAACGGTGGCTGGATCGTGATACAGGTGAGATCAACGTTATGTAATAGCAATAAAAATAATAGTAATCATCATCAGTATCATAGTCATCATCATCATCATCATCATCATAATAATAATCATCATCATAATAATAATAATAATGA